GCAAGCACTGCTCTTGGAGGAGGCAGATCCAGCCCTTGCGTGGACTGCAGCCGGAGCTTTAGAAGCTCTGAGCAGCTCTTTGTCTGCTACTGAGGTCAGCAGAAAGGGAAGGCTGTCTCCAAGCAGAAGTTGGCCCACTGGAAAGTGGATGCCATCGCCTTGGCGTATCAATCCCAAGGCGTGCCGTGCCCCCTGGGGGTGAGGGCTCACTCCACACAGAGTGTTGCCTCCTCCTATGCGCTGGCGACACCGAACACCTTCGCGAGATTCAACAGTCTCCACGTTGAGCCAGTTTCTTCCCGTGTGTCCCGTGTGATGGGAAGAGCTGCCCGGTGTCACGCTTGCTGCGTCATTCCCCCTCACCCGGGGATGTGAGCGCCTTTCTCCTCCTCCAGTAAGTTCCCCGTATGGTGAACCCTGGTTGAGTATCCTCCAGCAACCCCGGCAGTCAGACTGGGCGGAGCAGTCTGACGCCAGGCCCAGTATCGGTGTTAGTTTGCCCGGGTCTCCGGTCAGCCCCTGTACTAGGCTAGGTGTCCATATGGCTTGATTACCTGTGGGCAATCCCATATGTGTATTTTTCCACGGTAAGGTTTCCCTCTCGGTAAACCCGTGTCTTCTCTTTGATAGAGTGTTCTGTCAGTCTCTGCTGGCAGTTGTTCCATCCCTACTCTCAGGTAGGACCTGCCTCAGAGACCCATTCCATATGTATTACTGCCCCAGGCCTGGGTCAGTCCATATGAGAATCTCCACATGTTATCTCCCTACGGGTAGGGTGTGGTCGCCGGTGCGCCCTTCTCCGGAAGGTTTGCTTCCCCATCGTTCTGCCTAAGCTGTAAACAACAAATTGGAAAGACTTGAAGCAAATCTTTCATTGAAGGTCAAAATCCCTTCTGTTAAGAAATTTCTGTGGGGAAAGGAACAGCGGCATCTCCAGCAGCGATGTATTCACATGTGGTCCCTGCGAGTACCAAGGTCAGCGAATTTGCACTGGGGCGGTGGGAAGGTTACGACCATTGCGTAGCGTTTGTCTGACATGCGGCCACTTGCCAACATTGGCTATGCCATGGGGTTGTGACGGGGTTCAGGTTGTGGCGCTTTCCAGGGCCCCATAATGTCAATCACGACATAACTCGTAGTGACCGACAGATAGGGAACGTCTCGGTTACGTACGTAACCCTTGTTCCCTGATGGAGGGAACGGAGATGTTATGTCCCCTTGTCACAACCTCGAACCATCGCTGGCAGCCAGGGACAAGTTCTCGGCTCTTCAGTAAAACCTGAAGAGTGGATGCACCTGTCGCCTATTTATACCCATATGCACGGGGAGTGGCTCAGGTATGCACAATCTTAAAGTCGGAGATGATTGGGGCTCCCAAGTGAATCCCCATAATGTCAATCACTACATAGCGTCTCCGTTCCCTCTATCATGGAATGAGGGTTACGTACGTAACCGAGACGTTTTTTATATTCCACTATTTTTTTGACAGAAGCTGTGCATGACTGAAAAAGTCATAAAAATAAGCAAATGCATATTGTGTAAAACTGTATGTGTTTTACTTACATTTTAAACTATTTTAAAATTAAACTATTTTTATTTATACTTTTTTGTATCTAAATAGTACATAATCAGCTTTTTTTGACACTTCTGCCAACTTGGATAAAGTTTTTTTACAATTACAATTACAAGATTGTATTTTCCAGCTGAACAATTGAACTGCCATTTAAGGTTAGAACCTCTAATGTACTTTATATTTATGCCACTTTTACTTTTGCTCATAATTACAGTTATTAGTTTGTTCAAATCTCATGTAACCTGTTCGATAATATATTGGTCCTACTGATATGAATATGACATGATACATTCATTTTGCAATCAGAACTCCTTAGCAACTGCATACAATTACCCTGGCAACCACCCACAATACCCTTGTGAACAATAATAAACAAATGATAAACCCTTATAAACAAATGCCATTCCAGAATCACAGAGCAATGTGTATATATTAAGAATATTTATTCCAAAATTAGTACTTGATACAGAAATAATAATTTCATCATACTGATTTACTAGACAATCAGAACTTCAATCATGCTTTCTTTGATTAGTCACTGATTCCAAAAATTACAATATAATTTTTTCCATACAGGAGTTGTGCAAAGAAAATATACACTAGAAAGCAATTGTACACTGACACAAAATATATAACAATTCATAAGGCATCGCACAATTCCAAGAATTCAGTGAGAGATTAAGGCCATTTGTACAGTTATTTTCCTGTTAGATTTTTTTTTTTACTCAAAACACTAACAATAACAAAAGTACTGATGAATCTCTTGTAAAACTGTACATGCAAACATAGTGCACGTAATATTTAGATATGAATAGCATACAATATAATATTTGGATATCTTCAGTAAACAAATTTCATGTGAGTCAAGTCACAAATTTAAAAACACTTTGATTATGCTTGAGCTGACATCCACACGCTCGCTCACACACACACACGTGCATACTCACAGGTGAATGAGCTTGCCCAAGTGGCATTTGCCGTGGCACCAGCAATGCAGAGAGGAAGAGAGCTGAAGGAAAGTAAAGGAATGTTGAGAGCCAACATTCCTAAAAGAGAGATACGTCAACCGACCCTCCCAGGGTCAAGTGCTGCTTTTTCACACATGCATCATTCTTCAGCTATTATTCTGTGCAGTTCATGCTTACAAAATTCAAGATGAGAAAAAAGTATTATGACTTAAGACTGAATATGTTTATCATGACCTTAAAACCTTTTGATTTAAGTGGTATGCTTAAATGCTGTAAAGAATGTTTGTAGACAAATTGTGCATACTTAAGAAGATAGTAAAAGAAAAGCAGTTAACAAAGCATTTTTATTATAATATTAATATGTGACCCTGGACCACAAAACCAGTCATAAGTAGCATGGGTATATTTGTAGCAATAACCAAAAATACATTGTATGGGTCAAAATTATCGATTTTTCTTTTATGCCAAAAATCATTAGGATATTAAGTAAAGATCATGTTCCATGAAGATATTTTGTAAATTTCCTACTGTAAATATATTAAAACTTAATTTTTTATTAGTAATATGTATTGCTAAGAACTTTATTTGGACAACTTTAAAGGTGATTTTCTCAATATTTTGATTTTGTTGCAACCTCAGATTCCAGATTTTCAAATAGTTGTATCTCGGCCAAATATTGTCCTATCCTAACAAACCATACATCAATGGAAAGCTTATTTATTCAGTGTATAAATCTCAATTTTGAAAAATTGGCTGGTTTTGAGGTCCAGGGTCACATATAATATCAAACTTGCTTTACTTTTCTCAGCCAATTCTGCAATTACTTTTTTGTACTGTAGTACATCACAAGTGCATGTCCATACCTATGGACATGTTCTAACAACCACAAAGTATCCAATACTGTTTGTTTGTTTGTTTGTTTTAATCATTTTTTTAATTATTTGGTGTCTTGTATTTTATCTCTTTAAAATAATTATATTCATCTAATGCCTTTTACTTTCATTAAAATTATACTTCCTTTGATATTTTGTAATGACATTCATACATTGGTTCAGCAGATTTGGCACAAGTGTCTGCATGCTTTTTGGGGTGATTTTATGTGTTAATATCTTGTGAATATTGTATGTGTGACAAAGCAGCACAACTGGAATGACAATCTTAAATTCCAGAATAGCAGTTAAACAGGGAAAGTTCCCCTTTCAACATGAGGCTGTTACCCAAAATATTTCACTACACTAGTGTGTGAAGAAAAAATTAGTTGCTACATACTAGAATAGTAACATTTGCTATGTGTGAATGTTTTGGAACAAAAAATTGTGTTTTAGTATTTTGCAATGGAAAAAAATGAAGAAATCTACTAAATGAAGTGAATCATCATAAACCAGGAGTCAATATGATTCACTTCATTCCTTTGCTAAAAACATACAAACAGCAGTCATGTTTGAACTAGTTTACCAGTTGTGTTTGAACTAGTGTTCCAGTTTCTGTCTATTTTTGTCCAGTTTTGACTATTTGGGTAAGGAGAGACTTTAAAGAATTATTTTCCTGATACTAGCAACACATTTCACAAAATAATTGAATGGCAAAAACATTTTTGAAAAAACCAAACAAACAAAAAATTCAATTAGGCATATAATTCTGCATCTATTTTTTAGCAGGTTTTGACACTTCACAATGAAATCCAAAAAGAAGGATTTCGTAATAAGCTTTGTGCTTTTTGACACTATCTTTGGGCAACTCTTCCAGGTGACGATTAAATATGATGGATGAATATACATGTTATTGAAAAAATATAATACAACATCACCAAATCAACAGAAAATGACAAAACATCCATACAATGTTTTAAGACACAAAATAATAATGGCATCTGTGTTTTTGACCACTGGGCTCTTATTTGAGAGCAGCTGCTCAGATTTAAATGCAATGAAGCACATTGAGTCCTATGAGGTTCTTTATACACAATAAACTATCTTGCTTGTGCCAGGGCAAAAAAAAAAGAGAAAGTGAGTGAGAGAAATGAGAGAATGAGAAAAGGCCAAATAACATGAATGCTGCACAACATGCATCGCATGCCTGAGCACACCATTTCCATGCAAGAAATGTGGTTTTCCGCAACAACACCATCCCCTGCCACTTGACGGGCATGGCAAAGGTAACACGCTGCAAGTATTTGCACGGAAAAGTTCATGTTAAAGATATACGCTTATAAAAGTTAGATCCAACAGTAAGAAAATCATTAACATGTAAACATTGATTGAGAGCTCAGAGAAGAAAAAAGAGGAAAAGATAAGAAATGACGGAAGAAGCCTACTTCAAAAGTTATTTACAACAGTCTGTTTGCGACTGGTGATTTGTTAGTCTATTCTTGGTCTGAGGAGAGGAAGCTGCTCTGCTGTTCTGAGACAGGGCGCAATATCATCAGCTAATTTTTTTAGCCTTTCCTTACCTTCACATAACTGTCCTTCTTTTCACGGTTAACCAGAAATGCGAAGTTCATTCTACAATGTGGCCATCAGAAACAAGCTATCCAGGCATTGAGAGACAGAGAGTGAAACTAAGAGGCATCCTGACAGGGAATGCCTGTAATGGAAGTAAACCTGTTCTCAGAACCCTGTCTAACCATATTGTCCATCTACAGCCCCCATAGTGCAAAGAGAAAGGGACAGAAAAAGCTGAGAGCTGAGGAAAACTTCATCTCACTGAGTGATTGAGAAAGCGATACTGAGATACTGCAAGGCTCGCTCCTGGGCCCATTTTAGATCTGAGTTTGCAGCGGGTGTCCTGGGGGTGTGTACGGAGGGGGAGCGGGAGACGGCTTGATTCCTCTGGTCCTCATATAGGATAGGAACTGGTCTGGGATCTCTGCAAGAACATCTTTGGCCAAGCGGGCCATGCTTAGGACGTGATTCCCAGTGCGATCAATGTAGTCTCTGAATGGAACAAACTGCAAAAGAAAAAAAAGGTACAACTAAGATAAAACTAAATTATATTAAAATCAAAATTTCATATTTATTTTCATATATTACACAGACTGTTATTTTGTTTTCTGTGCAGCATTTATTTATTTATACAAAGAATGAGAAATATGGCTCTTCATCTTTTCAAAATTCTCAGCATACAGTTCAGGGTTGGAACAACATGGAGGTGAGTAAATTATTATTTTTGTGTGAACTAATCTTTTAAGAAAAAACAAGAATAACTTGACAGCAACCTGCTATTAACCTGAATGTCAATTCTAAACAACAAACTAGATTTTAGTTTTTCAAGTTTTAAAATATCAGCCCAGTCTCACAACATTATTACATAGGTTTGAGTGATTGCTGTAAAGAATGTTCAAATGTAATGTATTTACAACAATATAGTAGTAGGTAAGTTAATGGTATTTAATATAACAAAGTCACATATTGTAATATTAACATAGTTTCAAAATTAAAAATTTTGATTACGTCAGCATGCTAAAATGTTGTAATCCAACACACACATTAGCAGTAAAGAAACAAATATGATACAAAAAGTATGTAATAACACATATATGAAAGTTGTGATTTTGTAGAAATGGAACAAATTTGAGGTATGTTTCAAAATACTATTTAAAGTAGATTTTATGGTATAAACACACTCTTTATGTTGACTTTCATTAGGTGAAAATAAACTGAAGCAGGTCTCACATTAATCTGCATTTCTGTGAGAATTTGCAAAGCTGAAAAGAGCAATTAACCTAAAATTAGGGCACAGCCATCAAATGCTCAGCATGCCAATCAACTCAAACGCCTTTGAGACTGAGAGCCAAATTATCCTAAGAGATATGACTGCTTCTGAGAGCACTACACAGCCGTTTAGTTATGAAAAGCTGGGCTTTTATATACATGTTGGCTGCTGGGAAGCCAGATCCACTGGAATCTGTGTGTATGTGATGGCATAGCTAATTGGACAAGCCTCCCTAGCCACCTATGATAGCTGATCATGCACACTGCCTGTTAACATGCTTCCTAGCAAGCGTGGGGCGACCCACACATAATGATGACTACCTTGCAAAGAACTATAAGAAGAGAAGAAGAAGCACAGAAAGCATTAAGAAATGACATCTATGATCGTAGTGGGTGATAATGAACATACTTAGCATGGTTTTATAAACTGGAAATTCACCAAACTATATGGTGTATGTGTTTAGACCTGGACAAGTTTCAAAGCAAAATTTTAGCATTTGCATTTTAGAATATCTTGAGGCTCGTTCACACAAAAAAAATGATAACTACATTAGCATCCACACCAACACACAGCAATGTTCTGTGTTTATTATAATAATCTAAATAAACTGTTATGCATTGTTTCAATTCACTGCAGTAATATACACTACCATTTAAAATCTGGGGTTAGCATGATTTCTTTCAAATCAAATTTATTTGGTATGGATTAAATTTATCAAAATTTTCAGTACATTTATAATGTTACAAAACATTCCTATTTCCAATAAATGCTGTTCTTTTGAACACTCTGTTTATCAGAGAATCCTGAGAAAAAAAAGTATCACATTTCCACAAAAATATTAAGCAGCACAACTGTTTTCAATGTTGATTTCTTAAGGATCATGTGACACTGAAATAATGATTGCTGAAAATTAAGCTTTGCCATCACAGGAAAAATTTTTTTTTTAAAATATATTCTAATAATAATAATAATAAAACTGTTATTTTAAATTGTAAAGAAATGTGGCTTTTGTGAGCATGAGAGACTTCTTGCAAAACCATTAAAAATCTTACAGACTTCTGCACGGTAGTGTAGTACATAAACAAAATAAAATTCCAGGTCGGTTAATTTAATCACTTTTTATGTATATCATGTGTTTTACTGCACTATACTGCTGTAATGCATTCTACTGCACAAGTATTTATAAGAAGCTGATTATGAGGTATAATGGATTAAGAATACCATTGTATATGTAATGCATTACATATACAGACTGCACAGAAAGTGTTAACAGGAAGAGCAATGCTTGTTAAATTACATGAATACTGTCACACATTTTTGTAGCTTGATTCTGTACATATGTTTCTGAAAAGTTCTGGTAATTAGTGTGTTTTTAAAACAAGGGCTAAGAAAGTAAATTACTGCGCATTTACTATTGATTATATAACTTGCAAGATTTTCCAACCTCTATAATTGTCCTGTTTGTGATGTCTCTGTATTAGTGATGAAAGATAAATACTTTAGCTGCATGTGTTATTATACCTGTACGATGTCTCTCTCAGCATATCTGCCCCTCGATGAGATTCTGACTTCATCACCATCCAACTCGATCATGGCTAAGGACACACACAACAGATAAGAAACACACATGACCAGAGATATGGAAACATGAGTAAGCTGCGCATTTGAGTGCCTGCAACTGAGTGTGTTTTGAGTATTTTAGTCTCGTTTCATTATTCTTAAACCCATCGGCATTACTGTCAGTGCAACGAGGAAATAGTTGTCACATTACATGCTCATTTACTCTGCAGTAGTACACAATCCTTTTATCCGCTCAAGCTCAAGAGCTGAGTATCTCGATAAAACACATGTGGGGGGGATGTGCTGTATAGATAAAATGGCAAATGTAAAATGGGTTTATTAGAAAAATGTAATGTAAAATATAAGCAATATGACACCTATAAGTGCAGAATGAATGCATAAATTAATGAGTGAATGAATGAATGACATTTACTTACCATCAAACTCGGCTGGTCCAACTCCAACAATAATAATTGACATGGGAAGAGAGGCAGCCTGGAAAGAAAGAAAGAATGAATTTAAGAGTTTAATTAGGAGACCATTCCTTTAGGTTTTTATAATGTCATAGGAAACCTTTTTAAGTTCGGTCTATATTGTGAAAATGCAAAGACACACTACAAAGTTGACTAATGACTATTGAGTTAATATATTTTACAGATGGTTCAACGCTATCTCATGATAAAATTTGAAAGGATTTTACGAGGTGGTTAATTCGTACGAATTTGTACGACTTCACTCGTACGATTTTGTAAGATTTGTCCAGACTCCAGTGATGGGTAGGTTTAGGGGCGGGGTTAGGGGTAGGTCATTCATAAGAATTCATACAAATTGGGGAACTCATAAAATATGTACAATTTAGCAAAAATCATACGAATTCATACGAGTGAGGTTCATACGAATTAGTCACCTCGTAAAATATGTACAAATTGCTGTGAGATCAGGTTGGATGGTTATAGAGCTAAAGACAACATGAGCATTTAATGTAGTTTAGTAGACTGGACACCTACATTAACTATGGACTCCTTTGTCTGGGCCATATCTGATATCACTCCATCCGTGATGATGAGGAGGATGAAGTACTGTGATCCGTCCTTTACTGAGGCAGCGTATCTGCACGAGAGAGCACATTGTTACATTCATTAAACATCTCATTACTGCAGGATATACAGCCAAAGCCTCTGGATTGTGATATAATTTTCTGTGTTACTACACTGCAGTCTGGATTCCTAATTATTTTCATCAGCTTATGAGGTAAATAAAATACTCGGAGGCATTAATAACTTTGATAACACAATAACACAAGCAAATATATTCTGCACAGTTAATTCATCTGTGGGTGTAACAAACCATTCCTCCAATACAAATGAAGCCAATTAACAGTGTTATTAAATGCACAAAATATGCAGTAATATGTGGGCAAAAATATTTTTACCTGATCTGTCTGTGTAGGTAATGTGTAGTTCTGGTCAACTTTAGAAATGTGCAATTTTTCTAATGAATGCACTGTAAAATGTATTTATTTATTTATTAAAACAAAGATAATTGGAGCAATTATACAAAAAATGCAGTAGCAATTACTGAGTGAAAACGGATTCAATTTTTTTTCAGTGTGGGAATTCAGAACTATTTTATATTTCAGCAATTTGATGATGCGTTTGTATTTTTTTGTACGTTCTGCTTAGGGTTTTTTTTTCTCTTAAAAGTTGGGGTTTCATATGAAATAAATCATACAAATTCATACATTTTCACTACCAGTTCACCAAAAAGTTAAAATACATACAGTATGTTTTCTCATGAAAGAGTTATAATTGTAAATCTGTATACAAATGAGTTCCAGATGGGCTCTACATACAGAACGTTATTAATGAGATGACAGCTTGCTTTGGTTTTAAGGGTTTTGAGATTTTCGATATCATTTACTGATGCTATTGTTCCGGTCTTTATAAATCACAAAGATCAAACTGAACAAAATGTGTCATAAATAAATAAACAAATACTAATTTCCTTTTTGATGAACTATATAAAACATAACTTTGGCAGTCACACACATTACCTTTACGCATTTAATATAAATAAAGATTAGGTTCCTTTTGGTCTTATTTTTAGATCTGGATGCATCATGGATTTATCAGTCTCTTTTTCCCACACACTGTACTGAAGGGTGTAGTTGTTCAGAGTACTGATACTTGACACCCTTTACTAGCCTCCTTCAACTCTCTGTGATTTGTGCTTCAAGCTGATTTGTGGTGAAATATCTACTACAGACCTCTGTGTGAGAAGAAAGGATGAAATAGTCAGGCAATATGTTTACAGGCCTCTGCTTTCTCAGATCGGCTTCGGTGGATTAAAGCTTTGAAAACGTGATGTTCCATTGAGGATTTAGAAGATGCTGTACACAGTAATGTTCAAAATATTTCTTCACTTGTCACTGAAAATGTGTGAATTTAAAAATCCACTTGGGGACACACTGGTATTTTCTGAACTGGGCAACTATGGCACATTCAAAACACATATGTACTGAGCTTTATACTCCTAAAAACTACATGTTTTTAGTCTTTTAATTGTTTAGTTTTATATTTTTCGCTTTCCCCAGTTACAAAAATGTGCACAGTAGAAAATCCAGGCAAACAGCACATTAGCTTTGAAAGAGCAATATAAAAAGCAGTTTATTATTAAACTGTGTGGGTGCGACCTACAGCAAATACACAGAGAGATTAGAGCGGTGCAGTGTGACAGATCTGTCGTCAGTGCTGAGGAGTGGACAGTGTGTGTGTGTGGAACAGAGGGGTGATAATGACTTGATGGTCTGTCCTTTACTTCCCATCCTCAGAAAATCCATGAAATGGACGTATAATTAGATGTGTCAGTCCACTGACTGTTGGCTCGCTTTAAACCATTAATTAGTGTGGATTAAACACGGGATTTGTGAGCATAGAAGTCTGAAGTGCAATAAAAAAAACATAATGAGTTTTAGAAACATGTTTAACTGTAAAAACAACTGTCATATGTTGGAATAAACAAGAGCCAATTCATTAATATCATAACACCTGTAGAAAAGTATTGAGGCTTTCTTAGCAGAACATAGGGAAATACCAGGTAACATGCACACATTAATTTGTTCAAGAACTGATTCAGTTACTAAATATCTGAAGCGCAACAGGGATTGTTCATTTTTTTAAGCAGCCTTGTTTTTGGAAACTATTTTCCCTTATTTTTTAAAATACTAATTATGTTGCTGAATCACTTTTTTAAATAGAGTGTTTAGACATAAATTAATCAATTAATAATTATTATTTTTGGTTTTTACAATTATTGTGACTTTAGTTTGTTTTCAGTTGCATTTGTCAATAAACAAATTAAATCTAATTTGGTGACACTTTAGTATAGGGACCAATTCTCACTATTAACTAGTTGCTTATTAGCATGCCTATTTTTAACATATTGGCTCTTTTTTTATTATAAAGCACATACGTATACTGCATAACCATTCGCGATATACCAGTATTGACAATAACCGTGATATTCAAATCATGAAATAGCGACATCGTGTTAATTTAAGGTGTGACGATATACCGGTATTGGCGATAACCACAATATTTAAAATGAACAGGACACTTATGATAACACGACACGCAAATACTTCAGCGCCAGTACCTGGTTGACCTCCCAGGTGGCAGTATTGTGCCTTAACGCTAACACCTGTCAATCAAGAAGAAGACTCCGCGCACGCAGCTACTCCGAGAAGAGCCGTTCAATATTATACAGACAGTAAGTTGCCATTATTTTACTAGTCATGGAATGGGAAACGTTACATTAACCTGTTAACAACGGTTTCCTGTGTCCATATACTTAAATAAAGGGGTAATTTTTTTTTATTAAGTACCACGTTTTCTTTACTCGTCTAATTTTTGTATTTGTATTTGCAATCACGTCATGGCCAATACATGTGTGTAGCACTTGATTTCTTTGGTCAAATCTATTACAGAATTAAAACAAATCTAGAAAACTGAGTGACCACATTGCTACATTAAACTCTGTAAAATGTTAAGTTGGACGCAGTGCCATGCACTTAAAGGGGTCATATGATGCGATTTCAAGTTTTCCTTTCTCTTTGGAGTGTTACAAGCTGATTGTGAATAGATAAGATCCCTGAAGTTGCAAAGACTAAAGTCTCAAAACCAAAGAGATATTCTTTATCAAAGTTAAGACTCTGCCACGCCCCCCTAAAACGGCTCGATCTAACACGCCCCCACATAGCTTGGTCACTATGTACATTAAAGCATGTCAACATATTCTGTTACACCAAATACACAAAATAATGATCTTTAAAAAAGCATCATATGACCCCTTTAATGCCTCATCTGCGGCCGTTCTACACGCACATTAAAACTGAATTAGAAGCGCATTAACTGCATGACTTCATTGGCGCCGGCGCAACTATAGGTTAAAGAGATAAAAATGCGGGTATGCAAGTTAACAGGTTAAAGTATCAGTTTTGATGGTAATATTTATACATATACATATACATCCTACTGTTGAACTTGACAGTATTTTCTCTCTTGTTATTTCATAGGGAGACAGAGAAAGCCAGAGTCTCAGGTCAGCTGTGACCTGAAGGAGAAGAAGTGAAAATGCATGTGGCCTGTGTTTATCAGTATCCTTATGCTCACTGGGTAAAAAGAAAAACTAAATAAACAAAGTAAAAATTAATTTGGCTGATTCCCCAAGGTTTCTA